CCCGCCTGCTGCTCCTGGCCCGCCAGCGCCTCCTGCCGCTGCTCCGGCGCCTGCGGGCCCGCCTGGGCTCCCGGGAGTCCCGCGAGGCGCTGCTTGCCTGCCTGCTCTGCATCCTCAACCTCCGCAAGAAGGTGGACGACTGAGACCTGCAGCGCCGAGCACCCGCCGCCGCCTCCCCCCCCCCACCTTCCCACTCCCCGTCCCTGGAGGGGCGCTGCCTCTGGCTGGAGGATGGGGCTCCCTTCTGCCTGGTGACAGCCCCCCCAGCCCTGACATGGCAGCTGTGTGAGGGGGGGCTCCCCTCGCAAGCCCTGCTGCTGCCCCCCCAGGAGGGCTGGGAGTGAGCTGGGCAGAGCCGAGGAGGAGGAGGCTCTGTGGGGAGCGCTGGGGTCTTCTCGGCCTCTCGAGCGACTTGGACCACAGTCCCTTGCCATCTCCTCGCCTCTTGGCAGCCACTAGCCCTGGCACTTTGGGGGGCCCCAGGCGGCCAATGCCAGGGGAAGATGTCTGGTAGCACGGTGAGGAAGGTCCAGCCCTTCACCATCAGCACCAAGCTCTCGCTGCCCAAGTGTGCTGCCGACTGCCCCGGGGACCCGTGCCCCGATGTCACCATGGCTGCCCTGGATAACCGCAGCCTGCGCCACAACCTCAACGAGCGCGTCTCCCTCTACCTGGCCCAGACCCAGGCGGCCCCGGGGCCCCCTGAAGGCAGGGTCCAGAGCACCAGCCCCATGGAGGAAGGGGTCACTGATGAGGACCGGCTCAACCGCAACTCGCTCGCCCGCTCCATCAAGAAGATCACGCTGTCCAACTGGCACGGGGAGCCGGGCCCTGGTGAGGATGGGGTGGCGGGGGACCCTGCCCATGCCAGCTGCCAGAGGAACCACAACAACAACAACAGCAGACCAGGGAAAGCTCCCTTCAAGGTAAGGGCTCCTGGCTCCTTTTCCCTGCCTGTTGGTTCCTTTGCTCGTGCTCTGCATCCGACCCTGCCTTCTGCCTCTCTCCGTTCCACCCAGCCTAGACCTAGCTCCTTGGTTTCTGTGCTCTGCTTTGGAAATCTCTGTCAGCCTCAAGGAGTAGGGATGCCAGCAGGAATGCATATGGGTGCTCATGTGGGTTTTGGGGGAGCATAGGGCAAGGGCTGTAGCTGCTTCTGTAGCCTCCTGGTGAAGGAACCCAGCCTCCCCCTGCATACCCAGTCCACAAAAGCAACTGTTCCCCTGCTAAGGGTCTCTTCTCCCAACACCTGGGAGGGAGAATTTTGAGAGAAACCTTCCCTCAGGGCTTAAACTGAATTAAAAACTCCACTTCTGAGTGCTAGCTGCAGAGTGTTCTGCTCTGAGTTGCTGGGATGACCACATGCCTCTCACCATTTAATGGGGACTTGCTCTCTCTTCCTCCCCATTTTACAGCTGGGGAAACTAAGGGGAAGTGAGTCACCTCTGGCCACACAGTGGGGCAGCCCCTGACTCAGTCCCCTGCTCTTGCCGTTAGACAACCAAACCCTGCCAGAGGTAGGAAAAGAACCCAGGAGTCCCCAAACCCTGTCTCCCCTAGTCAGGCCATGAGAACATGCTGCTTTCTTTCCATCCCTTGGTCCTTGGTCTCAGAAAATTCCCTTGCTGGGCTGGGGCTAGTGTAGAGAGAAGGCATCTGAGATCTCACTAGGGTTGGAGAAACCAAGCAGGAACTCCCTGTGACTTAACCCCAACCCACAACAGCTAGCTTCACGGTGGGGCAGGCTGGAAGAGGAGAGCCTATGATCATCAAAACCTCCCAGCTTTGGTGCTGGTAAAGGCCAGACATGGTCTCACGCAAGCCTCTGGTGAGCTCAATGCAGAGGCAGATCACTGCCGAACAGCCTGGCTGAGCTGTCCCCAGATCCAGCCACAGCAAAAGCATTCCCAGCAACCCTTTGCCTTTTTTTAAAGGATGGGACACAGAGATTTTTTTTGTTTTTGGTTGTTGTGTGGGAGTTTGGAGCTTGAGTGGCAGGGTCAACCCCTTCCTGTCTGTATATCATGGAGGGTGGGGCTGAAAAGGAAGGGAGGCCTGTAAAACTAAGCTTTGTAAAAGAGGGGAGTAGAGAGCTTGGGACAGATCGGGGCATGTTGGATGGAGGAATATAATGTGTTGGGGTGGTAACTGCTTCTTGGACAGGGAACTGTACTATCCTGACAGGGTGATAATCCAGCTGGAAGACAAGGCGAGCAGCAAGCTGATATGCTTGCTCCTGACCTGCAGCATTCACCCAGCTATCCCAGTTTTGGGTTTCTCACACCCATCTCTGCCAACACCCCTCACTCCTGCAGCTCCTCTTATGTTCCTTTGTCAGCTTCCCTGTGAAGCTCTGTTTGTACACCTCAGTTTTATGTATGCCTTTCACCCTGCTATTGCAGCCCTGGGGCCTCTCCTGAGTGAAAACTGACTTGTCAAATCAATGTGGGGTTTTGTGATGCGAAGAAGCATTATCTGGGGTGTAAACTGAGACCAGTGAACTCATATTACTTGCGAGAAAAATCAGGGTTGCAGTCCAGGTTTTAAGCAGTGAGCAACCAACACATTACCTCACTATGCTAGCTCCTAGACCCCAAGAAAAGAGTCCTCTAAGTTGACTTTGAGTCCTTGTCCAAGAGCTTTGTGTGTGTGTTCATTTCCCTCCACTGAGCTGTTGGGGTAGTTTGCACTGGAACAGTGAAAGTCTCAGCCAGCCTTGGACACCGACCTCTCCTTTGCAACCTCCAATCCCCAAAGCAACACAAGGCCCAACTTAGTTTTTCCCTTTCACGTGCACTCCCAGCTAGTCCCTGCTGGTTGTCACAGGAGCTGGGGGAGCGGCTGTGCTGCTCTGCAGCCGTAGCAGAGCCGTTTTGCAGGAAGGATGAGGTCATTTCATGCTGACAGCCCTGTTTTCCTGTAGGTGATGGATTGCAAGGCACAGCATGTAAATAAAATGCCTGTGTCACCTGCAGGTTTATCTCCCAACACTGAGGGCTGGGTGGCGAAGGGCCCTGCCTGCCGCAGCAAGGATGAGAGACATACTCACAAGTTGCTTCCTAGCTCCCTGCGCTTGGTACAGCAATAGCTACTCAGTGTCTTTAACTACCTGCTGTTCCATGAACAGGCAGTCTGACTTATAGGTATGAGCTGAGCTGAGCCCAGCCCAAACCCTCCTGCCCGATGTGATCAGCTGTTGTCTTTGCTTGGCTCCTCAATGAAGGTGAGACGGACCATCCTTCCTGGCTGCCTGACCCCATTTCAGAAGGGTTTCTGGCCTGGGCAGCCCATGGCATGCATGTAGCCTAGTGGTCAGGGATTTGGTAGCGGGGACTACCAGGCAGTGCGAAGTCTGGTGTGTGCTAATGTTCAAAGCTTAGAGCTTAGGACGCCCTGACAGGGCCAATGCAGCACAATAGCCACCACCTTAAGGACCCCATTCAGCCTGTCTCAGTCTTGGGAGGAACCGCTTTGAAGCCACATAGCCTTCTCATGGGAGGGGACATGGTGTGCCAGGCTTGGTTCAGAATAGGTCTTGGAGGGCAGGGCTCTTTTCAGCACGCACAAGTGTGGCTGGGGATCAGGACGCCTGGGTTGTCTTCCCAGCTCTATCATAGATGTGAGATATGACCTTGAGGTACCTTTCTGTGCCTCAGCTTTCCTGTCTGCTCAACGGGCCAATAACACTCTGCCACTTCCAACAGGGACTGTTGAGGAGCTGAGCTAATATTCAAAGAGCGTGTTGAGCTGTGCAGATGGCAAGAATGTTAGACTGGCGCAGTGCTGTGTCGTTGTTTTTCTTGAAGCAACAGGCTTAGAGGCAGGCCAGGGACTGCATGCAACATACAGACTCTATCTGCACTAGAAGCGAGCCCTTGTGACATTGGTGGCTTCACTCCCAGCCACTGTCCCCCAGGCAACCCCACAGGGCAATGGGGTCCCACCTCTCTGTTAGCATGGTTGGGAATCTTGCATGTGTTCAGTATCCTAGGAGCTATGGGTGTTATTCCAAGCTTGCTCCCAAACACAGCTCACACATGGGGAAGAATCTAAACAATCTCACAGCCTCTGCCTTGAATTGAACTGGATTAACAACACAGTTCATTTCAGACTTTCTCCCCAGCTATGGCTGCTCTTAGAGGTCCTTGCTCAGCCCACACTCTAGATCGGGGTGGCCAACCTGTGGCATATGTGCCAGAAGTGGCGCAGGCAGCTTCTGCATGTGCCATGCGGCAGCGAAAGAACTGGGAGCCCAGATAGGGCAGGGGAGCAGAAAACAGAGCAGCAGACTGGGTAGGAAGCACAGGGCAGGGAGCAGAAAGCAAAGCAATTGATCTGGCAGGGAAAGAGGATCAGAATGGCACTTGAGAAGGGTGTGAGGCCTAATTTGTAGCATGCCTGCCAAAAAGGTTGGTTCCCAGGGCTCTAGATTGTCTTCTCCCAGTCATGTTGCTTGTGTGCAGGTGGGATGACGAGCCAACTACTGAAGTAAATCAACCACACAATTAATATTTTCCCAGTAGGCTCAACAGTGGTAGCAGGGAATAGCTAGTGTTCAGGTAAGGATGGCTAGCATATATTTACAGCCTGCAAGAACTACACCACAAAGCCCCTATCCTTGTGGCTGCTTTTGGAGCAGTTGAGGCCTTGGGTGCTCAAGGGAGGGGTATCCAGCCTTTTCCTGGTGAGAAGCTGAGACTTGGCACCCACATGCTCCACCAGTAGGTCTTTCTCAACAAGGAAGTGGACGTGGAAGAAGAAAAGCAGGAGGCTAGGAGCACCTGGGGTGGTGACATCTGCTTTTTGGTGGACAAAGGTCCCCACCCTTCCATGTGGCCATCCCCTAGTTCCCTTGGTTTGCAAGGGCCTTGTTTTGAGGTGGGTTGATCTGGAGTGGCTGGGCGCTGTACGAATGAGGCCTTCAGGGCCAGCTTCTGAGCATGAGACTGTCCTTTCCTAAGACTGTTACTAGGATGAAAAGCCCGTGGAGCAGGGACAGGTGGAGCCTGTCTCATACAGTGGGGAACTGGGCAAACCTGGCAGGGGAAGCAGCCTATCTGGCCTGTGGCAGGCAGTCTAGTCTGAGATAAGTAGAGTGAACATCCTTAACTGAGCAGCTGTTGTCATGTTTGTGAAATGGACCTGGTGGGCTCAGCTGGGAATTGGGCCTTTGCAGGGAGAGCCCGATCAGGCCCTGGTCTGAGAAGGGCATGAATGGGGCAGACACATGGAGTGGCTCCATGCAGCGAGGCAATCACTGTTCTGTCCCTACAGAGCTGGGACTGGCAGGTGGAGGGGGCCTGCATGTTCACAGACAGATACTCTAATGGGCTGCCCTGAGCCCTGCTTCAGATCTCCCTGTGAGGCCACACCACAGCACACAGGGTTCCTAGTGCTTTGTTTTTGCCACAGTACTGTCACTGAGTGTCCTGGTTGGAGTTTATATTTCAGAGAGACTGAATGAAGGGTGCAGGTCCGTGCTGAGAGCCCTGGTAGGAGAATCTCTGTTTCTAAGACAGGATTTGTTCAGCCCTTGCGGTTGCATGGAAACGTTTGTGAAGTGTGATCTAAAGGTAATCAATACACTGTCTACTTGAATGTGCAGGTGGCATGAAACAATTTTTCAGAGGGGAGGAGCTGCCATAGCTGGAGCCTGCTGCTCCACGTTGTCCCTGCAGTGGGTCAGATGGGCACCATCATGGCTAGGGTAGTATTGGAAGAGGCCTATCACTCCAAGTCCTTTACTACAGTGATTGAGAGTCCTCCCTTCTTGATGGACACTTACCCACCATGGGACAGGGGAGGAGTGAGCCATGGAGGGTGACAGGCCTCCCATTAGCCCAGCACACAGCTCTGCCACCACGCTAACTGGGAGTGATGCTTTGGTGCAGGGTGGGAAGGACCCCAAAGGGAAAATATCTGTCTGGTCCTGGATTTACAGGCTGGTCTGTTAAGAAGTTGGAGTGACAGCTGTCACCTTTTTTGAAGGGGGTAGTGAGCAGAGTCCCTGCATATTCCATGTTGGCTCAGCCTAGGATTTACTCAGGGAGAGATGTGTCCACTGAATGAAGAGATCTGTCCTCACTCCCTCTCTGAATTATCTTGCAGGTGGAGCAGCTGCCACGCCATCCCCTGCTGGGTGTCTCTGGATTGAATACCAGCGTTCTGCTCTCTCAGGCTGTTGGGGGCCTCCTGGGAGCAGAATGGGGAACCCTAGGGTTGTGGAGGAGGAGCAGTTCAGGGCCCTAGCACTGAAGTATCTGGAAAGCAGTTGCATTTCCAGCAGGCTGTGGGGCTGCTGCAGCAGCCAGGAGAGCACGCAGCTGGAGCATGGCTTTATCCTGATTTGGCCTTGACCTCTTGGCAGGGGGCTTTGTCCTATACTCAAATTAAACTATAGGATTTTTGTTGCTTGCTGCAACAGGGCTTTAAAAATGGCTGCTCCAGGGGCTAGGCTCAGCAGATAACACCCCCTGCCCCATACCATCCCACCCCAC